GCGGAAAAATATTTAATGGTTGGCCACTGACCATCTTTTCCCAACTCTGCATTTAGGGACATCATACTGAAGCTTGAAATTGGCTGTGGTGGGAGTATTTATACTATGGAAAACAGCAAACACTTCAAATCAGGCTTTTAAATTTTTCCCCAGAGAGCTGGTTGTTAGACATCTGCAAAGTGTTAGTCACTCAGTTATGTCCAACTCTTTGTGACCCCATGGACTTTAGCCACCAGGCTCCTCCGTCCATAGAATTCTCCAGGCAAAACTAATGGAGTGGGTTGCCATTTCCTTCTCCATAGACATCTGCAAACACACGGCTATAGCAACTTCTGCATCTGCTCCCTATGTCTATTCCCTGTTTGGCACCATCACCAGCTTACTTGTTTGTGTTCCTTTCCTACTAGATGATAAATTGCATAAAGGTGGAGATTTTTATTCATTTTCTTCACTGTAGTTTCCTCAGCACCACCAGCAGGGCCTGGCACATGGCAGGCACTCAGCAACTCCAGGGTTCCTCATATAAAAGAACCCTATTTACTGGGTAGAGAAAACAAGTGAAGACAATGTCACCATGCTGAATTGGCTTGTCACTGGCTTATTCACTCCCAAATCCATCAAGAAAGTGGAGGGAGCACACTGTTATTGGCCAAACGTGTCATCTTGTGTAAGAAAGCAGGAAATACACTGTTCTTACAGCCAGGTCTCACTATCTCAAATTCTTCCATTCAAACCCAAACCATCTTCAGTCTGTCCCACACTAGTTATTCTTCAGTTATTCTGACGGGTCATGACGACACTCTCTGAGAAATTCTCCACATACCTTGGGCCCCAAAGAACAGGGTGGGGGGGTGTGGTAAGTAGGGCTGGAATCAATCCGTCACGAACTGTGCAGCATCACGGCAGAGCCAGCTGGTCTGTCCTTCCTGGCTCTGGAAAACAACTGAGTCAACATCACTAAAGGAAGGAAAAAGGAGAAGGACTCCCTGGCTTTGGACTTAATCACATTGGTGACAAGCGCCATTCAAAATATTCCCCTCTAGGAGAATGCTGGGTAGGCTGGGTCAGTTTTTTCTTTTCTTTAACACACAGTTGGCCCTTTGCATTCAGGAGTTCTGCAGCCTGCGGGTCAACCAACCAGATGCATCTGCAGTTGGTTGAATCTGCTCATGTGGAACCACAAATAGGAGCGCTGACCTCACTGTGTTATCTTATACCGTAAGGAACTTGAGCATCCGAGGAGTTTGGTATCTCTGGGGAATCCTGGAACAAATCCCTCATGGATACCGAGGGAGGACTGTACATGCTCACTAACATCACCACATCTTCACTGAGATGATGGACTCAACCACCTCATCCAGGTGGGCTCAACCCTGCCTTCACACTGGACTCACCTGGAGAGCTTTAAAAACTACCAAGGCTAGGACGCCGCCCCCAGAGGTCCTGATTTAATTGGTCTGGGGAAGGACCTGGGTCCTGGGACTTTTTACAGTGTTCCTCAAGGGATTCTAACATGCAACCAGGCTTGTATAATCATATAATACAGCTCATTAACAGGAGGACCCAAGGAATTGGTCCTCAAGGAATTCACTGTCTAACCAGAGATTCTCAGGGCATCTCTGGGGTCTGGACAGATCCTTGATGCCTGTGAGCTCTTTGGACATCAGTGGCTAAGCATGTGAGATATTTCAAAGTCAAGTCCAGAAATAGCAGATGCGCTTTGTGAAGCCTTCCTTGGCTTGATTGTGCATGTGTGTGTGCATGTATGTGTTTACCCACTGATGTATGTCCTGGTGATAGTCCAGAGAGGCGAATGCAGATGCCTTGACCCCGACTCAGACAGTTAACGCCCAGGAGGCAGGTTGGCAGTGAGAGGTCCCCTGTGTCTTGGGAGGGGTGGATCACAGAACAGGGGCCCCTTCTCAAGGGGCGGTCACTACTCAGCCTCTGCCAGCATCACCAGCAAGGAATGTGGGCTTGGTCTTACCACACCTCCCTAATTTTTAAGAGGTCAGAAATCTGGATTTTCTGTTCAATTACTGGATTTTTTTTTCTGAGTTGGGCTCAATTTCATTAAATCACACACACTCTGAGTAGGATAACAAAACCCATCTGCAGACCGGGATGGGACTCAGGCCCCCAGAACTAGAAGGAACAGCAGACCAATTCTCTGTGTTTTAGATTAAAAGTGGAGATCTTGTCTCCTCACTGCGGACCTGGGGAGCAATGCGCAGGCTCTTTTGCCCCTTTGCCGAGGCACAGGTGTGACTTACATTGGCTCGAGGTCCTGGGGAGCGGGTAAAACTGTCCTGGCACAGATCAATCAGCATGTGACTCTGTGGCCTGCTACCTGCTACCATTTTGGCTGTGACATCATGAGGTGATGAAACCTTTGTTTCTTGGTGAAAGAAAGCCCCCGGCTAAAGTAGGCAACTGCTGCCATGAATGATGGGAAGAAAGTAAGGGAAGGAGGGGTGGCTCCAGAAAGTGGGAATGTGACATTGGGGTAAGGAGAGAATGATGGGACTGATGGGAGGGCACTCAGCAGGGCTCGGCTCTGTGGGGAACCCGGCCCACCATATGCTATTTTGCAGACAATTAAAAAGTGATTAGCAGGACTGTTTGAGTAAGTGCATCTGTCAGGAACCTCAGAGAACGTGCCAGGGGTGAGAGGCCAGGGGTGGGTGATGATGGACACTGGCCCTGGGTGGTAAGGAGGTGCCCAGGGTGTCCACCAAGGAAAGGCTGTCAGAGTGTGTGTGTGTGTGTGTGTGTGTGTGTGTGTTGGTTGGTCAGTCACTAAGTCATGTCCAACTCTTGTGATCCCGTAGACTTTGCCTACCAGGCTCCTCTGTTCATGGATTTCCCAGGCAAGAATAATGGAGTGGGTTGCCATTTCCTTCTCCAGGAGATCTTCCCGACCCAGGGATCGAATGCACACCTCCTGCTTGGCAGGCACGCTCTTTACTACTAAGCCACCAGAGAAGTCCATGTGTGTGTAGGAGGTACCAACACACAGGAAGCCTGGAGGTGTGTTGCACATACACAGGCGAACTGAAGGAACTTGGGGCAGAGAACAGAACAGGGGCTCCCGACCTCAGCTCAGCTCATAGTGGTGCAGAACCTCCCGCTTGGAGCAGGTTGGGGCAGCCGGAAGTTCCCCTCGTTGAGTGGGGCACCACCACCCACTCCCTATCACTTGTTTGGCTCCCTTGTGTTTTTCCAGAACTCAGCATCTCTCCAGAGGCCTTCCTTGGTTGCCCTCGGCAGTGGGATCCCTCTGCTCCCCACTCTGGTGCCCTTGGCCCAGCTCATCTTTTCCCTCTGACGTCACCTCACAATTGTTTTGCTTCTGTGTCGTCACCTTTCCTTAAAATGTGAGCTCCATCAGACAGCCCACACCTCCCTCCTGTCCCCAGGCACTGCTGGGCGCATGCAAATGCCCAACAATACCTGCAGAATGGCCAGGGACTCAGAGGTGTGAGGTTCCAAAGGATCCAGGAATTCCTCCCTGCCACCCGCCTGCCTCCCCTCCCCGATTCTCCTTGCAGGTTCTGTGGGCACCTTAACTGTAGATGGGACCCCTCTACCCCCGACCATGTGTTTGGTCCCAGCTGAGTTGCTGAGTCCATGTGTTTGGTCCCAGCGCTGTGTGGGAAAGAGCAGGCCCAGGTCCTACCATTCCAAGGCTCATGGGCCACTGAGCAAATGAGGTCACAGGGCATAGAGGGGCTCCAGTTCACATGCTTGGGCAGGGGTCCTAGGTGCCAGGAGACATCATCAGCCCAGGAGACAAGGAACTGACTCTCAGAGCAGGTAGACTTTAGTGGGTGGGTTTAGGAGGGCTTCCTGGAAGAGAGTGGCTCAGACCTCTTTGGGGAGGATGATCCTGGAGCACGTGAAGTGAGGACTGGGAGGGCACTGCTCAGGGAAAGGAATTACATGAGCAGGATACAGTCGAGTTGGAAAGCTGGAGCTGAAACTGGGAACTTATGCCTTGAGAAAGGGGTCCTTGCCCTCCGGTAACCTGGTCCAGCCCATATACTGTATAGAGAAGAGGGTGACTTATCCAAGGTCACGGCATATATAAATCTGGATTCAAACCCAGGCCTCCTGACCCCGAAGCCTGAGGCGGCGCCTGCCTTCTACAGCCCAGACTGGCCTGAGGCTGAGTCCTGGCTTGGGGTCAGAGTGGTGGAAGACACGGCCCCTGGGGGTGGGTGCAGTATGTCTGGTTCTTTTGGTCTGTCCTCACCAGGGTTGTCTTCCCTAAAGAAACAGGTGTGGAGTGCCTCTTCCAGGAAGCCCTCCCTTCAGGCTCCATCTGCCCCAATCCCTTCAAGACCTCCCTCTTCCTTCATGAATGACTCCACTGGGGATGGATAGATCTGCTTGAACTCATGGTCCTCAGAGGCTAGCAGAGTGCATGTTGACGGCCTGTACTGCTGAATGGATACTGCACCAGTCCTGGCCTAGACCGCAGCCTGAATTGGCTCCTGACTTCCTTCCAACTCTGAGCCTGGCTGACCCACACACTCACCCTTTGGCAATCTGCACTGCTCCTTGTTGATGGCATGTCTTGCCAAAGTTGCATCCAACCCCACTTTTGGGTCACTTTGAAACTGTTGGCCCTTTGGGTTTATCCTGCTTCACCCTGTGCCCCCTGAAGAGCCATCCCATGGATATCACAGTGCTGGCATCCGTAATTTGGCCTGTTTTTCCACCATGGTAGTTAGCCTTATATGGCCCCCAGTCCCAGGCCTGTTCTCTTGGCTGTGGCAGGCCTTTGTAAAATGCCTGGAGTCTGGGCTCACATGGGGACAACCAGACAGAAGAGATGGGACGTGCCTGGAGAGGGAAGCACAGGCCTGCCTTCTCAGGGTTTGGCAGCTAGGCTGACAGAAGACGCCCTCCAAGCCCCTCCCCAAAGAGCAGCGAATAAACAGCTGAAGGACTGAACAACAGACTTTATTAGAAACGCTCTTCATTCATCAGTCAATTCACATTAAGGTGGCAGGAGGCAGTGCCGTCTGGGGCTCTGGTGTCCCACTGTTGTGACAATTTCCAGTTAAAAATCGGTCTGGGCAGGGAGTGTTGGAAACACAAGAGATGCCCTGTGGTGGCGACAGCGGCGGCAGCAGCATGGGTCCCCAGGAAGGACAGGTTAGGCCGGTGGAGAAGGTGCCCCATGTCCCACCCTTCCACTTACAAGGCTGCCCCGTGGCCCCAAGCTGATAAATACACAGCACGTCACACATGCACGCGTGCGCGCACACACACACAGACACACACACACACGCGTGAAACAGAAGCAAACTCGCGTGAGTATCCTCAAGTGAAAAAATAATTCGCTCAAATAAAGCTTTGTGGCAGCCAGGCTGCATCCTGAATGGACAGTTGCCTGGAGACCCTCGGCCCCCCGGAAGGCTCCCCAGCCAAGGACATCGCCCCCTCGGGTGTCACAAGGCCCCCAAGCCCCCCATTAGCACCTGTGGACTAAGTACTGCCCTCACCACACTCCTCTTTTAAAATGCATCACTACTTAAAATAACAACAATAATAAAGGAGACACTCATTCCCTGGGGTGAATTTGTCAGACTCAGCTTCCCTGAAGAGAGGTGCCCGGAGCATCCGGAGACTGGGGGTCAGGATGGGGAGCTCATGAGAGGGGAGGTAAACAACATTCAGAGAGGTAAGCTGGGACGAGTCTCAACACCGCTTTGTCCGCTCGCCAATTCCACAGCTGGGCATCCCTGGGTCACAAGTCTTTCAAAGGGGCAGAGAGTCCTAAAGTGTCCTGACAATCCTGCTGCTCTGGGAGGGGCGGGGTGGGGGGGGGGCACAAAGGGCACGCGTCAAGCTGCTTTCACCATTCATTATTCAGAGGCAAAGTTCTCCCCAGAGCGGGCCAATTTTCCCCTGGCCCTGTCTGCAGTGGGGCCACAACACAGAGTCTCCTGCCCAAATGTTTTATTCATTCTCTTGAATAAGGAAACAGGCTCGTGGATCAATATCGGTGGCCGCTGTGTCCTGCTCAGCGGGGCAGGATCTCCAACCCGGCGCAGGCTCCAGGCTCTTCCTGGCTTCCAAAGAGGCGTCTGACTTGGGAGGGTGGCTTCCAAGGCAGCAAATCCTTTTGGCAACAGACATTGTGTTTCCAAACTGGGGAAGACGTCCCGGCCTTTCAAAGAACTGAATGTTCCCGCAAACTGGGGTGGGGAGGGAGACTCCTTCCTGATGTACTGTGTGACCGAGAAGGGACAGGCCCAGGCTGTGGATGCCCCCGCTGCCCTCGCTCACTGGTACTGCAGATAGTTCTTGAGAGACTGAGGCAGGGGCAGGGAGCTGATGTCCTGCAGGCGCTGGCGGCCTAGGGCCAGGCGGATGCATCTCCGACACAGGTCCATCAGCGGCAGGGGCTCGGCTGCAAGGAGAGAGAGGAGGGTTAGAGTATTGTGAGAGCCTGTCCTCACATCTCTCCCATCCACCCCATGCACAGTCCCGGCTGCCTGCCCCGGGGCTGCCCTTCAGGGCCCTGAGCTCCTCTGAGAAGCTTTCTCTGGTCCTATTAGGAGAAACTGAAGGCTTAGAGCAGTGTTTTTCAAATTGTGGGTGCAACAGACTTAAGACTCATGGAATCAATTCATTGGGTGGTGACCAGCGATAAAGAAAAGAAAGGGAAAGAAAAGAAAAAAAACACAGAGGCATGCCCATAGTAAGGGGTGAAAACTGTTCCATGAAAGCTCTCTTTCCGATGTAGGTGTTCATTGTGTCTCAATGCAAAAAATACTCCTCATTGCAGGTCATGATAAAAGTGAGAGCGGCTGACCTAGGGTGTATCCTCTTAGAAACAGGTGGGGTGGGGGCTTTTTGGAATGTCTTTAAAACCTCAAATTTCGTATACTATCAAGGGTGAAACAGATCACCAGCCCCGGTTGGATGCATGAGACAAGTGCTCAGGGCTGGTGCACTGGGAAGACCCAGAGGGATGGGATGGAGAGGGAGGCGGGAGGGGGGATCGGGATGGGGAACACATGTAAATCCATGGCTTATTCATGTCAATGTATGGCAAAAACCACTACAATATTATAAAGTAATTAGCCTCCAACAAATAAAAATAAATGGAAAAAAAATTATAAAAAAGTAAAATAAAACCTCAAACTTCTCCTCATAATCTCTTTTGATAGTCAGTGGAAGACTGCATTTTCTTCTAATGTCTATTTCTGGAAAAAATTCATGAACTAAAAGTCATAAGCCATGGAACCTCTGGACATAGGACCAAGCTTTAACTAGGTTTATTGTAGACACACTTATGAAGCTCTTATTCTCTTTCAGGTCCTCTGATTGGACTCTGGGGATACTGAGAGTCCAGTACAGAGAACTCTAAGGCAAGGCCAAAGACAGCCCTGAAGGTGGAGGAAGGCTCGACGTCTGGAGGTTTAAATACATGAATAACTGTAGTAGAGTTAACATATGCAGTAATTATTACATGCACAAAGACAGAAGCCAGGCGATTGTTTGAAAAGCTTTAAAGGGAGGATACCTGAAATGGGGTTTTGAAGGGTGAATAGGAGTTTTATGTGATGTGAGTTGGGACGTGTTCTAGGCAGAGAGAACAGGTAAAAACATAGAGGTATAAGATAGGACAAGCTGGGAGGTCTGGAGAGAAGGGAATGGTGCTACTCAGCTGGATCAGGAATGAAGAGGATGCTGTCATTTGCTGCCTCATGTGGCTTGTGCAGCCCTAGTTTTCCCAAGCCCACAGGAACATGCTAGAGGCCTGCAGCTGCATCTTAGCACTTTTTTTTTGTCAATAGAACATGTGATGTTTAAAAAGCATTCTATAACATGCTAAGATACAATAAAACTGTAAGTGGTAAGCACTAACACAAGAGCTGTGATAGGAATAATATCACAAGGGAATGGAAAAAATGGGGGAGTGTTGAGAGTACATTTTATAGGAATTTTCATTTATTGGAGTTGCAGAGTTAATGAGAAGAACCCTTAAAATCAAAGCCAGACTTGACTGCTGCATTGGGAGCCACACACAAGAGCATACCCAGCTGTCCTTCATGTGGGGCAAGGCTGCCTGGTGGCATATCTGGGTGTAGTGTTGGTGGTTTTAAATGCTCTCACCTCTGTATCCTCTTTCGATCCTCATATAAACTCTTTAGGCTGACCAGGGAGGCCCAGACATCCCTTTTTTCCCAGACCTAGAAGGCAGATCACTCACCCAGAGTTTTGTGGTCACATGGTCAACATGCTTAGGCCAACACCTGACACCCCTCTCGAGATGTCCTTATCTCTCCCCTAGCAACACCCCTGCACCCAGCTCTCCTCCCACTTTCCCCACCTGGTTCTCATCCAAGCTTTGCACTGTCCCCAAAATTAGGTCTCTGCGAACCCCTTTCCCTGCCTCTCCACCTGAATTGTCCCATCTTTGACCTCTTGACCTTCTCATGATCTCCTTTTAGTTCCTATAGAACCAGTGCTTGCTGCCTGCGCCACTGGACATTAGGGAGAAAAAACCCTTAAGTCCTTCTTTAATGAGAAATTGCTACTTACTTACCAGGTAACATGAGAGATGAAATACAGTTGTAGCTGCTGTTTACTGAAGGTGTGTTATGTAGGCAGGTGCTGAGCTAAGCTTTTTATCTGTCCCAACTCATCTGCTCTTTAGACTTCCCTGGTGGCTCAGATGGTAAAGAATCTGCCTGCAATGCAGGAGACCTGGGTTCCATCTCTGGGTTGCGAAGATACCCTGGAGAAGTGAATGACAATCCACTCCAGTATTCTTGCCTGGAGAATTCCACAGATGGAGGAGCCTACAGTCCACAGGATCATAAAGAGTCAGACATGACTGTACCTATTCATGTGGGAATTGGGTAGGAGCTATTATTATCCCCATTTTAAGGAGGAAGAAATAGAAATACAGAGCAGGTAAGTTACTTGTCCAAAGACACGCAGCTGGTAAATGGCAAAGCTGGGAGTTGGACCCAGGCAGCTAGAAACTGAAAACTCTTATCTCTTAGCCACATTTATTGAGCTTCTATTCTGTCCCTTTGCTATGTTAGGTTTATTTCATTTAGAGTTGATGCCATCTACTTCAGAAAAAAGGAGACAGGCTCAGAGGGAAAGAGGCTTGTCTGGACAAGCACAGCACAAAAGCCTGTATGTGGAGCTTCACACTGCTTGCTTTAAACACCATGCAGTAATGGAAGATCACTTTAAAGTATGAAGAAGAAGAGGGCCTCCTGCCTCCCAGGCTCACACAGTCCGAAGATTATTACTCTGGCTCCGACCACTTTTCAGGTCACTGATGCCCATCTCTCCCACCATGAGGTCTGCACCCACCTAAACAGGCTGCCTTGGGGCCTTAGGAAGCATCACTATCAACAAAGCTAGTGGAGGTGATGGAATTCCAGTTGAGCTATTTCAAATCCTAAAGCATGATGCTGTGAAAGTGCTGCACTCAATATGCCAGCAAATTTGGAAAACTCAGCAGTGGCCACAGGACTGGAAAAGGTCAGTTTTCATTCCAATCCCAAAGAAAGGCAATGCCAAAGAATGCTCAAACACAATTGCACTCATCTCACATGCTAGTAAAGTAATGCTCAAAATTTTCCAAGGCAGGCTTCAACAGTACATGAACTGGGAACTTACAGATGTTCAAGCTGGATTTAGAAAAGGCAGAGGAACTAGAGATCAAATTGCCAACATCTGCTGGATTATCGAAAAAGCAAGAGAGTTTCAGAAAAACATCTACTTCTGCTTTATCAACTATGCCAAAGCCTTTGACTGTGTGGATCACAACAAACTGCGGAAAATTCTTCAAAAGATGGGAATACCAGACCACCTGACCTGCCTCCTGAGAAATCTGTTTGCAGGTCAGGAAGCAACAGTTAGAACGGGACATGGAACAACAGGCTGGTTTGAAATAGGGAAAGGAGTACACCAAGGCTGTATATTGTCACCCGGCTTATTTAACTTATAAGCAGAGTACATCATGAGAAATGCTGGGCTGGATGAAGCACAAGCTGGAATCAAGATTGCCGGGAGAAATATCAATAACCTCAGATATGCAAATGACACCATTCTTATGGCAGAAAGTGAAGAACTAAAGAGCCTCTTGATGAAAGTGAAAGAGGAGAGTGAAAAAGTTGGCTTAAAGCTCAACATTCAGAAAACTAAGATAATGGCATCTGGTCCTATCACTTCATGGCAATTAGATGGGGAAATAGTGTCAGCCTTTATTTTTTTGGGCTCCAAAATCACTGTTGATGGTGACTGCAGGCATGAAAATCTTTTATTTTCACGCTCCTTGGAAGGAAAGTTATGACCAACCTAGACAGCATATTAAAAAGCAGAGACATTACTTTGCCAACAAAGGTCCATCTAGTCAAAGCTATGGTTTTCCCAGTAGTCATGTATGGATGTGAGAGTTGGTCTATCAAGAAAACTGAGCACTGAAGAATTGATGCTTTTGAACTGTGGTGTTGGAGAAGACTCTTGAGAGTCCCTTGGATTGCAAGAGATCCAACTAGTCCATCCTAAAGGAAATCAGTCCTGAATATCCATTGGAAAGACTGATGTTGAAGCTGAAACTCCAGTACTTTGGCCACGTGATGCGAAGAACTGACTCACTGGAAAAGACCCTGAGGCTGGAAAAGATTGAAGGCAGGAGGAGAAGGGGATGACAGAGGATGAAATGGTTGGATGGTATCACCAACTCAATGGACATGAGTTTGAGTAAACTCTGGGAATTGGTGATGGACAGGGAGGCCTGGCGTGCTGCGATTCATGGGGTTGCAAAGAGTTGACACATCTGAGCGACTGAACTGAACTGAAAGGGGCTGCCCTGCCACCAAGACGCCTTTTCTGCTCTCACACCTGCCCATTTCAACGTGGACCCTGCCAGCCATATTCCCCTTCTCACATTCTTCAGGGCCATCAGACACCCCCCTCTTCTGGCATATGCCCTCTGGGGGATCTCCAGGAATTCGAAGTCCCTGATTTCAAGCTCCAACTCTGCCAACTCTAAGTCTGTGCCTTTGAAAATGGAACAGGAGCGCTTGTTTCTTCACTTGTAAAATGGAGCAACAATCCCCAGTTTCCCAGAGAAGATGAAAGGAAATGACAAAAGCACAGCACCTCCCCCTTGGCATGGTGCCTGGCGGGAGCCAGGGAAACCGGCCCCCACTCTTGGTGCATTGGTGGAACAGGCCTGGGTACCACCTTGACTGGAAGTGCTCTCATCCTTCACCCAGAGAACATGGCATGGACTTTCTATTTCATTTTCTTTTTTTTACCTTAAAAAATTTTTTAGAGTTTCCCTGGTGGCTCAGTGGTAAAGAATCCACTTGCCAATGCAGGAGAACATGGGTTCAATCCCTAATCCAGGAAGATCCCACATGCCATGGAGCA